GTCTTTCACTTTTTTTTTCATTATTACATTGTTGGATGTGGTTTTGTCATATATAGTCCTTATTTGTACCTAATTTGTTCATGATTTTTATCAGGAATGAATGATGGATTCTGTCAATGATTCTTTGAGCTATTAAAGAATAATTGTGGGTGATTTTTCCTTCATTCTGTTAATGTGATGAACCTTAATTTTTTGGTTTTATTTGGGTTTTTGGATGACATGACATGGTCCATTTTTGGTAGATTACTTTGCATTTATAGAATTATAATTTCTTACAGGTTTTCTAATTTGCTAGCATATAATTGTTCATAATAGTCCCTAGTGACTCTTTGAATTTCCGTGGTATTTGCTGCAATGCATCCTGTTTCATCTCCAATTTTACTTGGGACTTTTCTCCTTTTTTTTTTTCTTGGTTAGTTTAGCAAAGAATTTGTCAATTGTTGTATCTTTCAAAAAAACTCAGGTCTTTGTGTCATTGATACATTTTTAAGAGTATTTTGTTCATGTCTGCTTTGTTCTTTATCCCATTTACTAATTTGGTGCTTGATTTGTTTTTGATTTTCTAGGTCCTGCAGATGAATTACATTTTATTCGAAGTCTATTTGAACTTCTTCTCTCCTCCTCTTTCCCCACTCCTGTGTTGTGGAGTTCAAAACTAGGGTGGAGCAAGATTTTCTATCATGGGAGATAGCTCCAGACCCCTAACTTCCGTCTATTTACTGCTTTGGTTATTCCAGAAGTCCTGGTACATTGTATTTCCATTTTTAGGTGTTTTAAGAAACTTAATTTTTTTTTCCTTTTCATTTCTTCAATGATTCACTGTTTGTTTAAAATGTATTGCTCACTGGCCCAAAAGACCAAAAATAGTATGTTCTCCCTCATATGTGGACATTAGATCAAGGGCAAACACAACAAGGGGATTGGACTTTGATCACATGATAAAGCAAGAGCACACAAGGGAGGTATGAGGGTAGGTAAAACACCTAAAAACTAGATAGCATTTGTTGCCCTCAACACAGAGAAACTAAAGCAGATACTTTAAAGCAACAGAGGCCAATAGGAGAAGGGGACCAGGAACTAGAGAAAAGTTTAGTTCAAGAAGAATTAACCTAGAAGGTAACACACATGCACAGGAAATCAATGCGAGTCAACTCCCTGTATAGCTATTCTTATCTCAACTAGCAAAAACCCTTGTTCCTTCCTATTATTGCTTATACTCTCTCTTCAACAAAATTAGAAATAAGGGCAAAATAGTTTCTGCTGGGTAGCGAGGGGATGGGGGGAGAGGGAGGGGGCAGGGGGTTTAGGGAGGGTGTGGGGGAAGAGGGGAGAAATGACCCAAACATTGTATGCACATATGAATAAAAAAAAAAGAAAATGTATTGCTCAGACTCCATGTATTTACATAATTTCTAAAGTTTCTTTTGTTGATTCCTAGTTTTATTCTATTGTAGTCAGAAGAAGAAATCTATTTCAATTTCTTTGAATCAATTATCAAGACTATTTTGTGATCTAATATATGTGTTCTATTTTAGAGAATGCTCCATGTGATGATGAAAATAATGTGTTCTTTAGTCACTGGACAAAACATTCTGTGAATGTCTGTTATGTCTATTTGGTCTATATAGTATAGTTTAACTTTGATGTTTCTTTATTGATTTTTTTTTCCTCTGATCTGTCCATTGATGAAAGTGGGGTGTTGAAGCCTCACATCATAATTGTACTGGGACCTATCTCTCCTTTTGGGTCACATAATATTTATTTTATAAAACTGCATGCTTTTACATTAGATGCATATATACTTAACACTTTTATATCTTCTTGTTTAACTAATCCCTTGAACATTGTAGAGTGACCTTTTTCTCTGACAGTTTTTGTCTGTAACTCTATTTTGTTTGATTTAGGTATAGCTACTCTTGCTTGGTTTTGGCTTCAATTTGCCTAGAATAACTTTATCCATCTTTCACTTTCAGTTTGTGTGTCTTTACTGGTGAAGTGAGTTTCTGTTAGCATATTTTTTTCTATTCAACCAATTTTTATCCTTTAATTGTGGAATTTAATCCACTTATACTCAAGGTTATCATTGATAGGTAAATTAGACTTACTCCTGCCATTTTATGGATTTTCTTCTACTTTAAACATTCTTTGTTATTTTTTTCTTCCACTGTTGTTGTTCATCTTTGGCTCATTTTGGTGCTTAACTTTGCTGATAAATTTTGACTATTACCCATTTTTTTCTTTTGTTCATCTGCTCATCTTGGGTGTTTTGTACTTTCATGTCTTTCCTCTTCTTTTATGTCTTCATAGTTTTTTGAGACAGGGTCTCCATTTGTAGACCTGGAACTTCCTCTGCAGCCCAGGTTGGCCTTAAACTCACAATACTCCTGCCTCAGTCTCCCAAGTGTTGGCTGTAGGAGTACTCTGCTACCCCACTCCCCACCCCACCGGGTTCCTCGTGTATTTTCATGCTGGAGAAATCTTTCCTTTGCTTCTGGTCTGATGGTGATGAGTTCCTTCAGCTTTAGCTTTTCTTGGAAGAACTTTATTTCTTCCTCATTGATGAAAAATAGTTTTTTGGTATAATATTCTTGGCTGGTAGTCGTTTTCTTTCAAGACTTGGAACATTATCTCACTGTCTCCTGGCCTGTAAGGTTTCTGTTGAGATCAGGGCTTCTGTTGCTGTTAGTCTAATGGGGGTACCATTAAATTTGACTTGGTGCTTTTTTCTTGCATTTTATTTAGAATTCTCTATTTGTCTTGTATGTTTGATATAATATGCCTTGCTGAAGATCTTTTTTTTTGTCATGTCTACATGACATTGACATTCACCATTTTTTCCCTCCAAATTCCCCTGTGATTGATGCATGTAATGTATTCAGGATCTCTTAAGCTAACTTAAGACTCTTAAGAACTTCAGAAACATCATTGGCTAGTATTTGACCATCTGTCACATCCAGTTGTCACCAAGTGTTACCAAATATGTATATTAAATAATTCTTGGTTCTCTGTTCCAACTGATTTCTTGTTCATTTTCCTCTCCTTTTCATTTTTTTCTTTTTTAATGAGAACAGTCTTTTCTAAACATGTTTTATTGAGGACCTTTTCAATTTTACAATCTATGTCTCTCTTATGCCCACAAAACACAGGTTTTCAAGCATTTCTAGCCTTTACTTTTCCATTCCTCTAAAATTCTAACTTTTTTAAAAGCAGAAAAGTAAGTATTCAGTTTTTCACAGATTATCATTCATAGGCTATCTACTTTTGCTAGCCATACCATTGCAAAAGCTCTTCCTTGACTAAGAAATCACTTACTTTTTACTCTTTTTTGTGTGAAACTGTACTCTATTTCCTCATGAATTTTATCTTTAAGAATCACTTGATCATATCTTTTGCTCATTTTTTTTCAAAAATGGCTTTTTTCTTCTTAGAATTTCTTCACAAATTAAAGGTCAAATGCTCACAATAATCATGGTAAATATGACCCATAGTTTATGACTTTCAAACTTGTTTACATTGCTTTTGGATTAAGTCTCAAAATTTTGTAGTCACAGCACCAGTCTTTGTGATGTTTTCTTTTCTTTTTTTTTTTCATAGTACTTGCATCATGACATGTTTTAGCTCATGAGATATTTTAAACATTTGCAAACCAGGAGGATCAACTATGGAAGACACAAATTTCTGAGAAGTGATTCATTATCAAAACAAGAACAGTGATTATACTGCAGAAGTATAAAAATATGAAAATATCTCACGAGCACTTTGTTAAGACCACTTCAAAATATCTGAGGTATATCTAAGTAATATATACTTCATAATTGCCCCTCACTCCACCTCCCAAAATCTCTTATTGATCTGTGTGACAAGCTTGAGAATCATAATATGGAAATGTATGAATCTACAAGATCAAGTCCAGAAGTAGGAAACCAGATGGTTCTATAAGATTCAATGTGAAAAGATATAGAATATGAATTACTTAAAACATTTAACCAGTGCCTCAAGTAAGTGTCTTTTTAAGGAATCTGTTTATTTGGTGTGTGTGGGGGGGAAGTTAGTGGGATTGAATTCAGGGACCAACACTTGATAGGCAGGTGCTATCCCACTTTACCACTTGTGCCAACCCAAGTCCTTTTGCTTTAGTTATTTTTCAGATAGGATCTTCTGGTTTTTTTTTTGTTGCCTGGGGTCAGCCTCAGACTGGACAATCCTCCTCCACTTGCCATGGGTTTACCTGGAACTACAGATGCACATGACCATGCCCAGGTTGTTTCTTGAATTAGGGTTTTGCTAACTTTTTGCCAAGGCTGGCCTCCAACTGCAATCCACCTGATCTCTGCCCCTAGAATATTTTAAAGCCTAAATTTTTTAAAGCCATATTTCAATTGGAAGAATATACACACACATTTTGGGCAAGGTAACTTCCAGTAACAGGAAAGTTCAGTTTTATTTATATGTACTTTATACTAACATTTGAGTACTTTTGGTTACATCTATACTTTTATAGGAAGGCAATCAGTTATAATCCAAATGGGAAGGTATAAGCAAAAGTACACATTTCATCAAAAAAACCTACTGTAAATTTTTTATGACTTGTACAATGCAATGAAAACCATTTCCTCCCACCATTTGATGATGTTTCTGTTCCTTTAAATATGAAATCTCTGAAGACTCTGAGCTTGATGAGATAATCTTCAATTGTGGCAGGAAATGCTGAATGGATTAACTACCAAATCCAATAAGTGCTTGCTTTTTAACCTGGATTAAATGCTATATTTAAACACAAGTATTAAAAAAATAATTTTATCTTGTAAAGTCAGAGTTCACTAGCGCTTTGTTCCTGCCTGGACACTGACCATTGAAAAATAGATGCCTTTCTGTGCCAGCAGCTGTTGGTGGGTGCCATGCTCCTTTACTTTGCCATTTTGAATCACCACGATTAGGTCTGCATTCTGGATGGTGGACAGACGGTGAGCAATCACAATGCAGGTGCGGCCTTCTCTGGCTTTGTCCAGGGCTTCTTGGACAACCTGTCCCATAAAAATATAAATTAACTGATAATAATACTGTTCTTGCTTTAATTTTCCCTCCATAGCAAATTCTCAACTATGTCCTTTAATGGTGGTGTCAGTGAATGTCACAGAATTTAGAAACCAAGGGATCTGTCATGCCAGAATAAAATTAATCCCTAGTTTGGATCAGTTCTGAGAGAGAGAAGATATATATTCTTAAAGTTATGGCAGTAAGTACAGTCCATCCAATCATTTAAAAACATCTCCAAAATGTGCCTGTGATGCAACATCTGAAAAAGCAACCCTGTAATCCCACTGCACAGCAAAATCAACAAGACTGAGCAAAGGCTAAGCAAAGCCTCCATGAATGTTACAATTCTAGAGATAGAAACCATCTCATAACCATCAGGTCTGTACATAGATGAATTCATAACTTATTCACCAGGAATGATTACCAACAATTATCTTAAGTTAGAGCTGGATTTTACCCTTGTTTGAATGTCCACCTTTTCTCATAGTTGCCTAGGAGACACTACCAGCAGAAGTGGGAAATAAGCCTCCTGCATGCAACTTTTAAGTAGAACACAAAATGAAGCAGAGCTGTTTTTTGGAGGATAATTTGCCTCATATCATCCCAGTTCTCCAACTACAAAATTTGTTTCAATTCTACTGGAAGCTAATATAAGTAACAATCAGTATCTGGCTAAACTTTATTCTCTGCTATGGAGAAACACATTAAATGTAAACCTTAAGAACAACTGATCCGAATATGAATGAACCCAACTTAAATCCTTACCTTTTCACTTTCTGTATCCAGGGCTGAGGTAGCTTCATCCAAAAGCAAAATATGAGGCTGCCTAACGAGAGCACGAGCTATGGCAATGCGTTGTTTCTGGCCACCAGAGAGCTGAGTTCCTTTGTCTCCTACTCTGGTGTTGTATTTCTGTGGACGGGGTTGTGTTGTTAGGAAAGTAGAACTTGTAATGAAGTTCAAACTCACAGTTTGCTCACAGAAAAGAGGATCATTTTCTCATGGAAAAATTATATTTAGGATTAGAATCTAAAAATAGGTTTAAAGAAACAAAAAATACTCTAAATGGTACATTTAATCTCTCTTTTGGAAAAAAGACATGTGGGATATGAAATTATATGCTTTAGTGTAAATAAGTCAGAATATTAATATATAAGAAAACTGCTACAATGGTACTACCTTCCATCTTCTGGTTTCTTTACATATTTGGGACAAAGATTGGTAGGAGAAAGGAAATTTGATTGGACAACTGTACCCAGTAATTGAAGCTCATCTTGTTCCTAACCAGTAGGTGATATTCTCTGCATGACTTTGAGGTTAGGAAAGAAAAAATCCTTGGGAGGTTAGTATTTTGGTGTCTTTTTATGAAACTACCTCCAACACTTAGCCAATTTTAATGGATGCTAAGGAATTGTACTCTGGTATCTAGCTTTGAATACTGAAGTACCCTTTACATGTTTTGAGTTCTTCCAAATTTCTTCCTGCATCACTTCCTGCTGTAGAGAGTTGCCACTGACTATTCCACATGATGTTAGGGACAGGAGTTAAAGGGCTTGTATAAGATAGCAGAAGTGGGATGTGGCAGTACGTGTAACTATAACAGTACTATCTTACTATTTTCAGGCTCTTGACAGGCCTGAAACTATACTTTTAAGTATAGTTGAACTGTGGGCTCTGAGTTTTACATATGCAGTTTGACTAGAAATCCATGTTCTGTATTGGATTGCCATTTTTATTTGCTGTAGCTCACAACCCTCGTTCTGGGGTACTCAGAACAATCCTCTCCTCCTCTCTTATAGGTGGAGTGAAAATCCCCTGGTAAAACGTGGCAGATGTTTGAGCCTGACTACACCTTACATTCTGGCTGCCTTGGAAGGACCACTTGGTTGAGGTGAAACAGCACTGATCCTGGTGCAGCAGGTAAGGGCAGTGCTGTGATCCTGCAGGAAGAGGAAAGGCATCAGCTCTGCAGGGTAGGTCAATCCTGGTGCTAATCACTCATGAGAAGAAGCAGTCCTTCAACAATGGGATTTAGGTTGCTGGTCTAGCATATCAGAAGGAAAAGAATCTTGATGTCTGCAGGGGTGGTGTGAGTGACAGAATTTGGTCAGGAGTCCAGAAATGTAGGGTCCTTGTGGTAGACAGAATATATTTTACATTTAAGAACCAGACAATCCTTAATCTCTGTGTTGTGTACCCTGCATTGGTATCACGTGAACTATTAAATCACAGACTGTTGCTAGACTTGACCTCAAAGTTTCCTATTCAGCAGAGTTATGGTGTGATCTGAAAAATCTACATTTCCAGCAGGTTTCCAGGTGGTGCTGACCCACATTCAAATTTAAGAGAACCACTGACTTCTTACTAGTAAAGGAGATCACAATTGTCTACTTTAAATGTTCAAGTCTCAAAGAGTCAGTTATGTAGGTTTGGGCTAAACTGTTAAAGCACAGGAGGAGGAAAAGATCTCCTCCTTGGGGCCTGTGCTTGGGAGTAGCAGTTATCTGCAGAAGAGTCTAAGGAAAAAGGAGATACTGGAAAGAGTTCAAGCTGCCTGTTGGTGTCATCCTTCCCCATGAGGTGACTGCCTTCCTGACTGGGCTTTATTCTGCAGGATACTTCCTCATAATAAAGAACATAACTAGTGATATGGGAGTAGATTAGCTAGATTAGGTGCATTTCCTTTCCTCTTTCCTTCACCCTTTCTTAAAAGGGCTTAAGAGATGGTGAGAATTTCTACTAACATAGCTTCCTAGAGGAATTGAGAGGATGTCTATAGGAAGCAGCCCAGGAAAAACTTAACAATCAACCCTATAAACAGAGCACGGGGCCCATGAAAGGTGCAATGATTAGTGATTACATAATACCATGTTCAGTCCAGTGGCTCAGTCCTATTCAGAGGCAGCTCTCTTTCTGGCATTGGTACAGCTGTCTGTCTAGCCTCACTATAGAGTAAGGCTGGAAGACTGGAAAAAGGAAGAGAAAGAGAGGATAGAAGTGGGGAAGGATATCATGCCTGCCTCCATGGCAGGACCAGAAGCATCATGTCCACAGGTGGAGACTCAGATGCCACCTGCTGCCTCTGTTCTTGGACTTGGAGGGAAAGCCTCCCTTCAATTCTGTACTTATCCTTGGTTGTTGACTTAAGCCTAGGAGCTAGAGAATTGTTTCAGTTCTCTTCCCTCAGAAAGTTCTTCACTTTTCTACCTAATTTTGATAGAATATTGGCCTAATATTTTTGTCCTTTCCTCAAAGGACAATCAAATGAACAGATAAACATAACATCTATCCAGGAAGGAAATATGACCAGATGCCTTTTTTTCCTGTACTGTGTGTTTGAACTCAGGGCTTTGCACTTGCTAGACTGGTGCTGCACCGATGCTCCATACCTCTCGGTCTTTTTACTTTAATTTTTTTGGATAGGGTCTCAAACTTTTGGACAGGGGTGGTCTTGGACCTTAATCCTTTTGCCTTTGGCCTCATGCATAGCTGGGAATACAGGCATATGTCTTCATGCCAGCTTGTTTATTGATATAAGGTCTCACAAACTATTTGGCCTGGTTGCTGAGTAATTGAGATTACAGATATGAATAGGCATGCCCATCCAAGATGCTCCTAACCTGGTGAGGTATGTTTTGTTTGCTAATTTTTCTTTACATTTGGGAAACCAGACTTTCTGAAATCAAATGATAGACTTGGACTGTAGCACAATGGTAAAGTGCTTGCCTACCAGGTGTGAGGTCTAGGGTTTGATTCCACAGCAGAATCCCTCCCTCCCAAAAAAATCACAAAGACTGTTGAAGATGCTGCTAAACACTCACGGCTCAAGAGACTTACGTCAGGCAGTGACTCAATGAAGTTATGTATGTTGGCCTCCCTGGCCGCCCTCACGATCTCATCCTGAGACACAACCCTGCTGTTGTCTCCATAGGCGATATTCTCACCAATGCTGCAGTCAAACAGGATGGGCTCCTGGGACACAATGCCCAGCTGTGCTCGGAGCCACTGGACATTCAGTTCCTTTACTTTTTTGCCATCAACAAGCTGGAGATAAAAGCTCACAGATCAACTTCAGGACCAGCACACTTCAGATTTAGCAAACTTAACATCATTATTTCATACCATAACACTGCCACATTACTGTGAGATTAAGGGAAAGCTTTTGTTCTTTTACATGGAATTTCTAAGGTTAATCTAACAATGGAGATGTCACTTTTCTTATGCTTTAACCCTAGTTTCTGATAAATGCCTCAGAAGGCAGAACAAGGTCCCTCCTCCTAGAAGTTACCCATTTCCTAATCCCTGGAGATTCTGACTATATCATGCTACAAGTCAAGGAGGCATTAAAGTAGCAGATGGATTTAAGGCTGCTAATCAGCTAACATTAAAATAAGATGATTACCCTGGATTCCGTTGGTGAGCCAAAAGTAATCTTAGGGTTCTTAACTGTGGGAGAGGAAGGCAGGAGAGTATCGAATCTGGCCAATATTAGAAAACCTGGTTAGCTGTTGCTGGCTTTGAAGATGGAGGAAGGGGCCATGAGTTATGAAAGGGAAGAAAACCACTGTCCCTTAGAAGCCAGAGAAGGAACATAACTTCACTGAAACCTTGATTATAGCTTTTTTTAGACTTCCAGCCCCCATGATTGTATAATGATAAATTTATGTTAATACATTATAACAGCCATAGGAAACTAATGTAATGCCTCATACCCCTTCATTATACTTCACAGAAAACATGTACAGTATTGACATGGATATAAATAACAGGTATAACTATCCAACAGGTTTGTAGGTCAGGCTTCTGATCTGACCTGAGTTTGCAGATCAGATGCAATGTGGCATAGAAGTGAGCATAGTGGGGTAGAAGCTGAATCTCTCTGTGATTGTTGATCTTGGGAAAGAGAATTAATTTCTCTGATTTGCTTTCTCCATGGGCTAAACAGGAATGATGATAATTCTGAAGCTCACAAAATTGAGGACTGAATTCACATGTGGACCCCATGTACAGTTTATGTGCTCAAAGACTGACAGCAACTGGTAAATCTGCATGTGTGATATGCTGGGAACTACAGAAGATGATCAAGTGTATGAAAATATACACAGCACCTTCAATATTGAAGCACAGGAGTAGGAAAGAAAGGGCCTCCCTTCCCTTGGTAACCTAGTTCCCTAGAACATCCTGCAAAACACTGGGGCAGGTTCCTTATATCATCACTAATGAAAAGCCTTACTCTCAGATGCAGATTATCTCCACCCAATAGATTGGCTTTGTAGAAGAATTTTTTCTCATTCCAGCTAGAAAGCTGTTCATGTCTTCTGAAGGACACACCAGTGACTCAGCTTCAGTTTTTCCAAGTGGTGACAAATGTGTGCTGAGCCACATGTAGTCTCTGTATCCTATGCTTGGCTGAGGGCTTTGGGAGACAGCTGGCCAGGAGTGAGGTAGATCAGTGCTGCAAGAAATTGGCTATTGCATGTGAAGCTTGCAGGTGCAGGGATGGGAAGCACAGCCATGACCTGTTGTAACAAGGCCAGTTGCCATGGAAACATTTCTAAGCATCTATGATCTAGGTTTCCTAACAGTGTTAACAGGTGATGGTAGAAAATAGAGGGTAGAGAGAAGCAGTAAAAACAAACAAACAACAAAAAAAACCCCACATGTAAGGATGTGCCAAGCTTCAGATCTTGCTCATTGGAACACCATACTTGAGAAAAGGAAATCTGAAGAAAGGAGGAGTTTTAGAAGAATAATTCTTCCAGGCTTATATCCCTAATGGCAGGATACAGGTATTACCTAACTAACATAATCACAGGAAGTTAGCCCAGGCAAATAGTTCACAAGACCCTACCTTGAAAAAACCCTTCACACAAAGAGGCTGGTGAAGTGACTCAATGTATAGGTCCTGAGTTCAAGCCCCAATACCCAAAAAAACCAAAAAACAAAAAACAAAGTCAGAGATAGTATATTAATTACTAGATCCTATCATGTCTCTCAGCTGTTATTTTATATAATCTCTCCATAGCATTTGTCCTCCTGACCATCTTTTCCTTTTTGAAATATGCCCCATCCTTTGTTTTCCTCTCACTTATTTTTCCTAGAACCACCTCATCTTTTCTGTTGCTTCAGCTTTTTCTGGCTTTTCTCATATCAGCTAAAATCTAACCACAGCAAGGGAGATGGGTAGTGACAATGCTGTGCACACAGGAAGGTAAAGGGGCTTTGTTGAGAAGAGGCTGGAGAAGATAGCTGGGCTTGGACACCAAACCTAGCTGCCAAGACTTTATTTAACAGGGGCTATTATTGCTTAAAGGTGCGAAAAACTGTGGCTTATCATTGAGAATTAAGCACATCCAGGCATTTACAAAATGAAAGGCCTGAAATAATCTGAATATGAAAGTGTGCTCACCACTGTTCCTGCCAATGGATCATAGAATCGCTCAAGGAGCTGGACCACCGTGCTCTTCCCACAGCCACTGCTGCCCACCAGGGCCAGCGTCTGGCCCTTCTTCACCTGGAGACTCAGTCCCTGAAGCACTGGGATGTCTGGTCGGGTGGGATAGTTGAACATGACTCCACTAAATGTCACGTTTCCTTCCAACATATTCTAAAATGAAAATAAAAACACTAACTTTGATTGCTGCAATACTGAAAGCACAGGATAGATAGAAAAAAAAAAAAAAAAAGAAAGCACAGGATAGGACTAGCCCTTCCTACTACCGTATATCAGAAGGGAGTGAACTCCCATTATATGTGAGCTTCATTTCAAGCTCCTGGAATTTAATAAATCAGATCTAAAAGAGTCAATGGTTTTATAGCATGGATTGTTAATACAATACAAATGCACCATATAAATGTGTAAAATCAGTTCCCCTAGATAGAGTTACCTACAATAAGAAAGCCTGAGTAATAGGATTTACAATATTCTTATCTCCCTGTAATTTTGCTATGTAAAGTGCCAGATGTTAACATATTATTATCAGTATTTACTAAAATAAAACTGTAACCAAAATCTTATACTATCAGATATTTTTAAAAAGCACAAATTTTATTAAATTTCCTTGAATACTTTCACTGAGGAGTTAGGAACAGATCACATACCCAAAACATCAAACTCACGGCTTCAGTCCTTCTGTGCTATAGCTGTCAATCTCAGGGATTTTTCAATGAGGCTGATGACATGGGATGCTGACACTTTGGCTTTGGCATAGTCAGGAGCAAATGAACTGACCTGCCCAACTGCCATGGCACCAAAAACAACAGCTGAAAATACCCTGGAGGACAAAAGTCAAAACATGTGCACAGAACTGTGGCTATAATGGTAGCAAGCTGCCAATTCTACACCCAGGGAGCATTGCCTCAAATAATTATAAAGCAGAAGTTAAAAAAAAATAGAACAATAAAACACTTCTGCTTATAAGTTAACATCAGATTGATTTTAAATGCCCCATTTTAACCTCTTTTGTTACCTTCAAATTCTTACAGGACTTTTGCAGCTTTCATCTAATACTTCTTAGATTTTATTAGGCAAGAAGAAGGAATAAAAGGAATACAAATAGGTAAAGAAACTGTCAAATATCCCTATTTGCAGATGACATGATCCTATACCTTAAAGACCCAAAAAACTCTACTCAGAAGCTTCTAGACATCATCAATAGCTATAGCAAGGTAGCAGGATATAAAAATCAACATAGAAAATCATTAGCATTTCTATACACTAACAATGAGCAAACGGAAAAAGAATGTATGAAAACAATTCCATTTACAATAGCCTCAAACAAAATCAAATACCTAGGTGTAAACCTAACAAAAGATGTGAAAGACCTCTACAAGGAAAACTATACACTTCTGAAGAAAGAGATTGAGGAAGACTATAGAAAGTGGAGAGATCTCCCATGCTCATGGATTGGTAGAATCAACATAGTAAAAATGTCAGTACTCCCAAAAGTAATCTACATGTTTAATGCAATTCCCATCAAAATTCCAATGACATTCATTAAAGAGATTGAAAAAGCTACTGTTAAATTTATATGGAAACACAAGAGGCCACGAATAGCCAAGGCAATACTCAGTCAAAAGAACAATGCAGGAGGTATCACAATACCTGACTTCAAACTATATTACAAAGCAGTAGCAATAAAAACAGCATGGTACTGGCACAAAAACAGACATGAAGACCAGTGGAACAGAATAGAGGATCCAGATATGAAGCCACACAACTATAAGCAACTTATCTTTGACAAAGGAGCTAAAAATATACGATGGAGAAATAGCAGCCTCTTCAACAAAAACTGCTGGGAAAACTGGTTAGCAGTCTGCAAAAAACTGAAACTAGATCCATGTATATCACCCTATACCAAGATTAACTCAAAATGGATCAAGGATCTTAATATCAGACCACAAACTCTTAAGTTGATACAAGAAAGAGTAGGAAATACTCTGGAGTTAGTAGGTATAGGTAAGAACTTTCTCAATGAAACCCCAGCAGCACAGCAACTAAGAGATAGCATAGATAAATGGGACCTCATAAAACTAAAAAGCTTCTGTTCATCAAAAGAAATGGTCTCTAAACTGAAGAGAACACCCACAGAGTGGGAGAAAATATTTACCAACTTACATCAGACAAAGGACTGATAACCAGAATATACAGGGAACTTAAAAAACTAAATTCTCCCAAAACTAATGAACCAATAAAGAAATGGGCACGTGAACTAAACAGAACTTTCTCAAAAGAAGAAATTCAAATGGCCAGAAAACACATGAAAAAATGCTCACCATCTCTAGCAATAAAGGAAATGCAAATTAAAACCACACTAAGATTCCACCTCACCCCTGTTAGAATAGCCATCATCAGCAACACCACCAACAACAGGTGTTGGCGAGGATGTGGGGAAAAAGGAACCCTCTTACACTGTGGTGGGAATGTAGACTAGTACAACCACTCTGGAAAAAAATTTGGAGGCTACTTAAAAAGCTGGACATCGATCTACCATTTGATCCAGCAATACCACTCTTGGGGATATACCCAAAAGACTGTTACTCCAGAGGCACCTGCACACCCATGTTTATTGCGGCACTATTCACAATAGCCAAGTTATGGAAACAGCCAAGATGCCCCACTACTGACGAATGGATTAAGAAAATGTGGTATCTATACACAATGGAATTTTATGCAGCCATGAAGAAGAACGAAATGTTATCATTCGCTGGTAAATGGATGGAATTGGAGAACATCATTCTGAGTGAGGTTAGCCTGGCCCAAAAGACCAAAAATCGTATGTTCTCCCTCATATGTGGACATTAGATCAAGGGCAAACACAACAAGGAGATTGGACTTTGAGCACATGATAAAAGCGAGAGCACACAAGGGAGGGGTGAGGATAGGTAAGACACCTAAAAAACTAGTTAGCATTTGTTGCCCTTAACGCAGAGAAACTAAAGCAGATACCTTAAAGCAACTGAGGCCAATAGGAAAAGGGGAACAGGACTAGAAAAGGTTAGATCAAAAAGAATTAACCTAGAAGGTAACACCACGCACAGGAAATCAATGTGAGTCAATGCCCTGTATAGCTATCCTTATCTCAACCAGCAAAAACCCTTGTTCCTTCCTATTATTGCTTATACTCTCTCTACAACAAAATTAGATAAGGGCAAAATAGTTTCTGCTGGGTATTGGGGGGGGAGAGGGAGGGTGGAGTGGGTGGTAAGGGAGGGGTGGGGGCAGGGGGAGAAATGAACCAAGCCTTGTATGCACATATGAATAATAAGAAAAAATGAAAAAAAAAAAAAAAGAAGTAGATTTTATTTTCCCTGCTTTTTGAATCTGGGTTATCTTATGGCCCACAGGGTGTGATGTATATCTACTGTGTCAGTTCAGCACCTATGATTCATTTTTCTGCCTTCTACTCCTCCGTCTCCTCTCTCTCTGTCCCACGACTAGACTTACAAGCTCAGCTAATACCAAACACGATGATGCCAGCTTTAGATCCAACTATCCACTACCAAGATTAGGAGAACTGAACGCTACATGCTTTTGGGCAAAAATAAATGTGTTATTATTCTACGTTACTGGAGGCTCAGGGCTGGTTGTTGCAAAGTATGTGGGAACTGACAGGTGTTTGGTAAGAATGACCATGGGATTCTTGAGAAAATGTCGTAACCAAGCTTTGTCATGTAGCACATGCCCTGACTCCGTACGTGAGAGGCTGAGCAGGAAGATTACTTGTTCAAGTTCAGCCTGGGCTAAATAGGGAGAACTGACTAGAAAAGAAAACAAACAATAAACAAAAAAAGAGAAAGGAAAAAAAAATGAAAAACTGTGAACCATGCTATAAAGAAAGAGTTCCTCAAACACACCTATATATAAGTGCTGCTCTCCAAGATTTGTCTGACATGGGAATCACAGGCCACCAGAGCTTGAACAAGAGCTAAGAGGCACCAAGTCCAGCCTCAATATCTGGCCAATTAAGGGAAGTTGCACAATTCCTCAATTTAGGGAACTTCCCCTAAATTGGGTCCTCGCATCTCTGTTCCTAGGGAGTCGCAAGTTTGAATTAAGTCTACGTTAAAAAGTTTCTTTTTTTTTTCAACTGGAGAAAAAACTGAATTTCTTTTTGCAGAAGAGAGACCTTCAAATATTGGAAACTCTTTGTCCAAAAATGTCCTTTCTTCTTTGATAATTATTTTTCATGCCCCCCTCAGGACATGCTTGTCAATGTGTCTTTTAAACATGGTTATCACTGACATATTCCCTTCCGAACTTTCCCCAGATACTTTAGAATTCAATCATTTCTCTTCTTCCCAATATTTTTTATTTTGGTATTGGAGTTCAAAACTCAGGGCCCTGTGCCTGCCTGGCAAGTCTCTACCACTTAAGCCCAGTTACTTTTAGTCCTTTTGGTTTTATTTTTTCCGGATAGGGTCTTGATTTTGCCTGGGGTGGGCCCCTGGACCACAATCTTCCTATTTCCAACTCCCTAGCAGTCTGAGAATTGTAGTTATGTATCCACCAAACACAGCCTATATAACTGACTATAAACAATGTTTGAAGCAGTACATTGTGCCCGTTTTTTCTTTTTTTATTATTTATTTAACTTATTTTTTAACAAAACTTGCTCTCCAATAAATCACACTCATCGGTTATCTTGACCCTTCGTAATCATCTTCAACTGAAGAACATTTCCAAATGGACCTGCTTTTTCGAAGACAGGCCTTTACTTACATGGAAGATTTTTATTCTGCAATCTAAGGATGAAGTATCAGCAAACTTTCCATCAATTGAAAGCCTTGCACTAATCAATATAGCCAAAATGAATTTTCCAAGCAAGCCCCCGATATCAATGATACTTGATTTTGATCTTTGTGTTCATAACTACAAATGAAGTCTCGCATGTCGTTTGTCCAGACACATGACGAGTTAGTTCGGGTCATCCCGAATAACCTATAGTGCATGAAGAAAAGGCAATCCCACACCGTGACAAAAATACTATATTAAGCTTGTGTCAGGTATTCATGATTCCTGGTTTCAATGTTAAATCTTGTATTAGTACTAAATATGGTTGTTGCTTAATGAAAGGGCGTGTTGTAACCTGTCACCCAAAATCCAGGAAGCACATAAAGATTTACTACCAACACTATTGACACCTAACTGCGTATTTAGGCACTTCAGCAGTATAAATTTAAAATTAGGTCTTGCTTCCCTGAGTGGAGGATCCATTTTCCTATATTCACAGCAAAAAACTCCCATCTAGTTTTTCCCTTTGTCATTTTAAAATTTCTCTACTCTTAAACTTGCAAATGTTTTTTAATCAAGAATAAATGAACTTATCCTAAATGAATTCCCAGGAGTTGCAGAAGTTAGCACACCACTTCCATCACCTTAGCTGCCCTGTGGGGAAATCCCTATACCAAGGAGTCAATCAAGACTCTTGCTCAGGGTTAGGATTTCTTCCAAAACACCAAAGGCTTTCTGGAGACTCTGAATTGAATCACTCTACCATCCCACAGATTTGAAAAGGTCAGAAAATGTGCATCAGCACTGGGAAAGAAGAGAATTACTGATCAAAAGGGGGTGATTCAAGGAATTATACACAATGAAGACACAGGCAAAATGCCACATTCTTCACTCACAAACTGTCTTCAACAAGACTTCCATAAGGTTTTTTAAACTCAGACTATTCAGCACAATTACCTCAGATTTTTTTCACTTTAGAGTTAAATTATAAATATTAACCCAATACTAACAAGAAGAACATTTTCAAAATCCATGATCTTCCGAGCCACCAAGAATGGCACCAAACCGGCAAACCATGCAGCATAAGAAAAATACATCATTGCTTTGGGTGGAAGAAAACGTGCTTCCCAAAAGATGTGTGCTTTTCTCAAGGAATTTCTGGAAAGAGACAATTTTGAAAATTTATTCTGCTTATTTCTCAGTTTCTAAAATCTACTTCACCAGTTGGCACAGAAAATGACAAAAAAATTGATTAGTGTCTAAAGAATTAAAGTGTAATCCTCATTAAAGTTACTGGTTATGTGAATTTAGGAAACTGCCTCATCTCTCAGCCTTGGGTGTCATTTTTAAAGCAGGGATTAAATATACCTCAGTGTGTTGCTATAAAGCTAAACTAAGCCTATGAAAGCTTCTTCCCTTCTTCTAAACTCTTGGACATATACAATGTGTCCTCTGTAGGAAACAGTCACTCCACTCACATTTAATCCAACACTTATAAGCTGCAAGAACCATCTGAGTAATACAGGGATAGGGTACATTCTGCTGGTGGGACTTGGAATTGCAGCTGGTTCATTATTTTCGAATAAAATGCTCTGGGAGAGAGAAGCAACTACTAAAACTGTCCTGGGGGAGGTGAGAAGGCTATTTCCACGGTTTAAATTCTAGGGCTTTGAGCCAACATTGAGCTCAGTGGAGGTGAGGTGGGACAGAATGGGTTGGGAAGCTGGGCAGAGACCTCTGGACTTTCTAATTCTGCTTGGACCATTATCCATTTTGCCTTTATCTTTCCTCCTAATATTAGAACTGCAAAGAAAAATGTTTTTCAGAAAGAGAGGCCCTACTAACCTTACAAAATAAGTCTGAAAACCCGCCCATAAGGTCCACATCTGTCCTTTTACTAGAGAAGGAACTAAGTGATAGAGAGCCCTCACTCTGCTGGCTAATGTTAAGAAAAGAACAGAAATCTCCAACTGGAGACAGTAAGAAAGAAATGAAAAGTGTGCCTTGAGGAAGCGCCAACCCTCAGTGTCCCACAAGTACTCAAATTTTCATGTCCGTACAGAACTCCTCCATCGTCAGCTTAAGCAATAAATAGGGTCATCAATCAAAAACTGGACATAGCGCGTTCTGACTTCCTCTCCTCCCGCCTCTGTTAGCAGCCTTTACAAGTTCTAATCCAGAGATCTCCTGCCTAGTTTTGAATCTAACTCCATTTCTTCTCTTTGGATAATTACAACTGCTTCCCAGCTGGTTCACTCTATACTTTCTCCATTTG